CGGCCCCGGAGCCGCCGGTCCCCGCAGCCTCCCGGTGTCCTGCGGGGCTGTCTGGTCTCCTAAGAGCTGCTGTCTCGGGGGAAATAAAATAGAAACAAGGGAAACAACACCCCTCTCCTTTCTGAGTTCTGCCTTTAAGTCAAAGATAACGTTTACAAAAGGCAGACAATGCCCTGAATTGGCTTAGCGCTGCCTCCTGTCCCCCCTCCCCATCCCCCACGCACTCCTCCCAGCCCTTGTTGTTGTATTCCCACCGAAATAAAATGCTATGGGTAATGGCTTTGCCTAGCACATTCATTATATTGAAACGGGACTGTTTAGGATGCTAATTGCCCAATATTGTTATCTAGCACAAGTGCCTTCAGGGAAGAGCCACGGTTCCCAATAAAAACCCTGGACTGGAACAAGCACCAATAAAGTCACCTATTCCCCCCCGCCCTTTCACTTCGGTTTTCCTTACAGCCCAGGGAGGAAAATAAGAGAGAGACACCTAAAAGCAAGTCGGAGTATCAACACGACGGAACCGATAAAAAAAAAAAAAAGTTCCTAAAATCCAGTGGTGTTTTGGTCACCCAGAGCGCCGCGAGCAAGGGGAGAGGAGTTTGCATACTAAAAATTTCCCGCTAAACAAAGAAGTACATCTCGGGGCAGATTTCGTTTTGTAAACTTGATTTCTCCATGCCTAACTTAGAACCTGTGGCTTTCCTTAAGAAAGAAAGGAAAGAAAGAAAGGAGCAAGAAACGAAAGGAACTTTACTGGCTTCCCGTTTTCAGCCCAAGAGCTCGCCAGCATGGGAATGAGAATCAAGTCCTTGCTATGGTACAGTGATTAAAATACCACCGAGTATGACAGAAACGTAAACACAAAGCGTTCATTGCTGGGAGATAAATAAAGAGCTAATTATCTCGTTCTGTCAGCTCTCAATGAGCGCGGGATCGCGCTCTCACCGTGGGACGCACGCTCAGCTCCTCAGCCCTCAGCAACGTCCCGGTGTCCAAGCCATTCTGCAAAAGAAAAGTGGGGGGAAAAAACCCAACCCAGCAGCTCATTTTTCCTTTCATATTTCCATCAAAACAATGAGATCGAAAGCAACCTAGGGGCTGCCTGGAGGTCTAATAAACACATCACTTTTGCGCTGTTGCGTTTGGGATCAGAGGAAAAAAAAAAAAAAAGATCCTACCTGTAGGATCGGGTGGAGGGGCCACCGTGAAACACGACGCACCGATATTGGTGCGTGTTTTCCTAGTCGGGGGGGGGGGCGCATCTCCGCGTCAGGCACCGGGCTTTGGGAAAATGTCATGTGATTGGTAGAGCAAACTAATTTTGTCAGGCTGAATGTGCCGATGTCCCAGGGCTAAGGCGCCTTGCTCCCTTGATGCGGGTTAACGTCCTCAATAGTCCCCCTCCAGCTGAAGCCTTTGATCAGACCGCTGCTGGCGCCTAAAAACAACATCACTTGTCTGCCTATTAGGGGCACTGACTAATCGTGACAGATTGTTTATTCTCGCAATTAGCAATGCAGCCGCTTC